CTCTGATACCACATGTAAACATCATCAAGGATCTTGAATAAATAATTTGGTGTATACGAAATACTTACTTGATGCGGAAGACGACATAATTAGTGATCTTGATCTTGATGACCACACGAGGCTTGATCGATTGTGAGATCTAAAATCAGTTTCTCCCTCCTGACCGTTCCTTAACGTAGCAGAAAAGTGATGGGATAAAACTGCGTACCCTAATAGGAGGAGAGAGGACTAATTTATATAGTGGTGTCTTTAGATCTGGTACGTCCATCAAATATCCAGATTAATGGCTTAGATTTGTTTGACTATTAAATAAAGGCCAGCCCAATAGGATAATTAATTGTGAGCCCAATGCTTTCGGGCCACATATTCTTACACCGGGTAGGACCACAAGAGCGGCAAAGCTCTCCCTCAAGAGTTTTAACACTGCTGCATTCTCAGGGTTCGAACACGAGACCACTGGTTAAGCTGGAAGAGACCCAAGCCATCTCATCCAAGCGCTCTTGGTTGGAGTTGAAATGAGTTTTAACATATAACTCCCTAAGTATGCACGCATATTGTAGCAAAATTATTAAACATAGATTATTAAATTATATATTTAGGTGAAAAAAAATTAGGCAGTAAGAATTTTATTTTGAATAATGAAGTAAATTTTTGTTACCCCCACGGCGAAGTTTAGTGCAGACAACGAAGTGGTGCTTGCTATCCTGAGCCTGTAGGTCTTGTTTGGTTGGACGCGGAGGATGTCGGGCGCGTACTGTTCAGTGCCTGTTAACGTGCACGCGCTTGCGGACGTATTGCTAACATGCGCCGCCATGGAACAACTGTATTGCCCCCTCCCATTAATCAGCAAGGTCTAGCACGACAAAAAAAAAAATTAAAGAAATAAATAAATATATTTGAGAAATCCATATATAAACATTTTATAACACAAAAAGGATACGTAGTCTGAATTTATTAATTGTTGATTAGGGTTAGATTAATTATAAAAAATTATATTTAAAAACCACGAGAAATTCACTATTCCGTCGGGATTTGTAACTGTTAGATCATCGTGTCACATTCGGGAATTGTTGATCTAACAGTTGTAAACCCCGACGGAATGTTTCCGTAACGTGGCCGTAACATCACCCCCATATTAACAATTCTCTTTAGTGATTAGTTAATGAAAATTAATTAAGGAGAATTAAGAAAGAATAATAACCCACCTGTGGCTCGCCAATCCAAAGCATGGGCCTTGA